CTCGGGAGCTGCGCCCCACTGGGCAGGCCGTGGTGGTGGGGCCCGCTGTCCAGGACCCCGGCTGCTGGGTTGCGGTCAGCCGTGCCCTGCGTGCCACACCCCTGCCGCAGGCTCCCGAGGGAGAAGGCCTGGCTGGGCCTGCCGACCTGGGGGCGAGGAGCCTGAACCCCAGCAGTGAGGGGAGGGGTCCTGTGGGTCCTGTGAGGGGCGGCGGCCACGGCAGCGGGAGGCCGCCGGGCTGCCTGTCCCAAGATGCGCCTGGATGGCCTCCTGCAGGCCGAGCCTGGCCACTGACCCCCTGCACCTCCCCAGGGGGAGCCTGGAGCCGACGGGGAGCCTGGGCGGCCAGGGAACACGGGGCCCCCCGGAGACGAGGTGAGTGGGCGCCCGGGCGGCCGCGGGGCCCTGCAGGTCAGACGTGGTCTCCCCGTCACGCTGCTCTCCCCCAGGGCGAGCCAGGAGAGCCGGGCCCCCCCGGAGAGAAGGGCGAAGCTGGAGACGAGGTGAGACAGGGGCCCACAGGGCCGTGCCCCGGTACCCCCAGCCCAGTCACACTGTGCCCCCCCCCACCATCCAGGGAAACCCGGGACCAGACGGGGCGCCCGGAGAGAGGGTGAGTGTCCAGCACTGCACTCAGGGCCGAGGCGGAGCCCGTGTGGCTCAGGACGGGGCGTGAGAGGGGGAGGGGGACAGGTGGGGGGAGGGGGCAGAGGGGGGCTGGGGCGGTCACCGGCCTGGGCCCTTCCACGGGCGGCTCAGCCGCTTCTCTCCACACAGGGCGGCCCTGGGGAAAGAGGACCCCGGGGGACCCCCGGCCTGCGTGGCCCCAGAGGAGACCCGGTGAGTTGGGGGTGGACGGCACAGAGGCCAGGTGGGTCAGCCTGAGAACCACGGGCTGGGCAGACCCGGGCCCAGGCCGGCTCTGGGCGGCCAGCAGAGTGCTGCTCAAAGCCCAGTCGGGGGACAGGCTGGCGGCTCTGGCTGTGGCCTCAACCTCGAGGCTGTCCGGCCCAAGGCCATCAGGGAGCTTGCTGACCCGAGAGGCTCTGCCTGGAAGTGACACGGACCCCGCCCCATCGCACGGCCTCCCACCACACCCTGGGCGCTGGCCACGCTGGTCCCAGCCCCCAAGACTGCCGGGTCGCGCCCTCCGGGCTGGAGTCTGCGGGCCCCGTGGCCAGCTTAGCGGGGCCGGCACAGGCAGGACACCGTCTCCTGGCCCGCCCTGTTCTCTGGGGCTCCCCGGGGCCCCACAGCCTCACCGGGCTCGGGGCTGTGGGAGGAGGCCTTCCCCCAATGCCGGCCGCCCTCGGGGTCCCCCGCGGAGGAGCTGACCGGGAGCCGCAGCCGACCGGCCTCTCCCTGGCCCAGAGAACGCGGGGGGCTGGGGCGGCCCTCCCAGCTGCCCTGTGGCGCCTGGCCGCCCCTCAGCTTATCCCTCCACAGGGCGAAGCCGGACCCCAAGGCGACCAGGGACGAGAGGGCCCCATCGGCGTCCCCGGGGACCCGGTAGGTGGGAAGTCACAGGGAGCCGGGCGGGCCTGGAGGGGGTGCTCTGCACTCCCGCCCCGAGGCGATGCGGGGCGGCGCTGCCCAAGCCATGGGGCTCAGGGGTTCTGCCTGGCCCTATGGCCGTGGTGGCCCCGGCCACGTGGGGCCTCTCACGGACCGCGGGGCAGCGGCCAGCTGTGAGCGAGGCCCAGGAGGGCAGTGCGGCCTGAGGGCCCTGGCCCCCTCCGATGGGTGGGAGGACGCCGCCGTGGCCGAGCCCAGCACCATCCTGGAGCGGACCCGCCGCGCTGCCCCTGGCTCTGCAGAGTCCAGCTGCGGCCCAGACCCGCGCGGGGCCACACTGGCAGGCCGTGGACAGGGCCTTCCCCAGGGCGCCCGGGCCACGCGGGCCCAGCCTCAGGAGGACAGAGGCCCCCAGGCCTGACGCCTGCTGGCCTCCGGTCACTCGCCTCAGAGCGACAAAGCCCCTGCTGGAGAAGGTGCTCCTGAAGGGAAGGGGCACCCCAGGTCTCCGGGGGTGCCCCAGGGCCCTGGGGGTCCCCACTGCTGCTCTGGGAAGGGGGCCCCTGCTCACAGCAAAGGGGGCTCTGTGCCACCTCCTGGCGCATGGGTCCTGGGCAGCAACCCCGGACAGCGCTATGGACATCACAGCAGGCCAGCGTGGCCGGGTCTGCCCAGGCCACGCCTCTGGCCACCCTCCCCCACGTCCCCAAGGCAGGGTGGGGTTGTGGGTCCTGGCCCTGCCCGTGGGGCCTGGGGCCGGCGTGGATGGGCCTGTTGCCTGCGTGCAGCCTGTCCTGCTGGCTAGCGGATCCCTCAGGGAGGCAGGGACAGAGCCAGCCCAGGACAGGCCCTACAGGAGGTGCCCCGGGCCACGGCCGTGGGCCGACTTCTGCGGGCGCCGCTGACGGGCGGGGCCCTGGGCTACCCCCGGGCCCGGCTGGACGCTGCGCCGAGGCAGGGGCCCGCGCAGGGCCAGCAGCTGTGCCCCCTCTCTGCAGGGTGAGGCTGGACCCACAGGGCCTAAAGGGTACCGAGGTGATGAGGGGCCACCGGGGTCCGAGGTGAGTGGCCGCCCCGCCCAC